CCCTCCAGGACTCGACAACTTACCTGGCTTTGCAAGCAGGTAAAAGACTCAACTCAATACACAGCACATTTAACACAACCTGACCCTATTAACAAATAAGAAACATACACGATGAGGAAAAAAGTAACAAAGATATGAAGTGAAATACCGAATTATCGCAGCTTCTGTTAAAGATGAGATCTTGTCCTGCCTACCTCCTTCCTCAGGCCTGTGGAGTGGGTGGTGGTGTCACAGACTGCCCAGCTGGTCCTCACGATCTTCACAGCTCACGTGTCAATACATTTTCCACAGCAACTCGTGTAACGTACCTCCGTGATTTTATATGTTCAAGATGAACAAAATACGAGACAAAACAACATTTCGCAGCTGCAGTAGAAACGGCCGCCTCTGGTTTTTAACAATCAAAAGCGAAAACGATTAAATGCTTCTTTTCGCTAAAGAAAAAAAGAAATCCTTCCTGTTTTTAAGAAGCAGAAGAGTAACAGCAAAATTAAAATTCCCACCCTTCCCAAGGACCTCGGAGTTTATTGGGCAACTGGAGGAAGTCTCGTCTATAATTGGGAGAGTTTACTGTCAATCGTGACGTGTTGGACTCAATCCCAGTGATCTGATTGGCTCTAGATCCTCACATTCCTAAACAAGAGGGTTTAGACACCAGTCACATGATACAGGTGTTTAATATCGCACCAAACCCTCACTTCCGCACTGTAAAAGAGCCGTCCATAGACTCGTGTATCACCACCGCCGCCTGGCGGTCATAGAACGGAATCGCTACCTCCTACTGTAGTTTGATCAACAGGCTTCGTTTTATTTCTAAAGATTTCACTAACACGCGGGCTTTCTTACGTTTTTACTTTAATATCAAAATATTCTCCCAAATGGACACATTCAATGGTAAACTGTATTTGTATTTCTTGGAACGGAGACGAATAATGATTCCCAAATACACTAATAACTTGTTTTTTGACATGAGTCTTTAAACACAACTCTAAAAGACAACATCTTAAACATTATGTATTAACCACAGAAACAAATCAAGGATAATTATTTGAAAGACAAAAGATTAAACAATTTAAGTTCCTCTAAATTAGTTTCGGTAACATTTCGGTAGTTAAATTTGTAGCAGCGTGTAAAAGGCGATATTAGACGGCGATATGCAACAGTGTGGCCGCCAGGCGGAGACATTGCTACACGTGTCTATGAAGGGCTGTTTTAATGGAGCCCTTTTCAGTCTCCCGCTGTATTCCACTGACCGTGATATCATCGGTATCCAATCCAGGTCCTGGCCCTGAGCCACAGTGACACCAGTCTCAGACTGACACCCTCATCAGCTCTGAATGAGCCTCAGAGGGATGTTGTGCTGATGGTGCCTGAACACAAGTCTCACTCTCTAATCTTCCTGAACACATCTTCATCAAGCTAACGGGTTTAGTGGATGTGCTGACTGAAATTATGATATCATCACAAATGTCAGTTTCTGTATTCTTCTGTTTGCAACTGCAAATAGCACCTGCTTGCCTTATCAGGCTTAATCTTTTTGGCGAAAGTCTTTTGGTTTCATTCATGTTCCTTTTTTTAAAGCTTGTAAATGTATCTTTTATTGTCCTTTTGGTTTCACAGTTTTCTGCATTTCCAGAGCCAGGATCTTCCCTGTGTGATTGGTGGCAGTGGGACAGTGCCTCTACTGGATATGTTAAGGATTGCTCTGGAGAGGCAGTGCTGCCCCAGAGGCCCAGTGGTGTCCTGCCCAGCACCTCTGGAGAAAGAGAGGAAGGACTGTCTGCAGAGTCTAGAGCTGCCAGCCCAGCAGAGGGCATCCCAGAGGCTCAGCTTCCCCAGGGAAGAGCTGTTGACCTTCCTGCTGCTTTTACACTCATCCCCCAGGTCAGCTGTCCCGTCTGGAGCCGTTTCATGCCCAACGCCTGCTGTGAGTGAACAGTCACTAGTGCTGAACGCTTGCAGTACTTGTCAGTTTGTCCTCTCACCTTTAACTGATATTTCCTTTAACTGATATCATTTCCAACAGATCTTGGCCCCTATGTCCATGGAGCAAGTCTAATCTTGATTCTGTACTTAACGTGATGAATTGGTGTAATTCAGCACTTTCTGACACCTGCTGTATCTTCTCTCCTTTCATGAAACTCTAAACATGACCTACAGCCCTCAGATCCCTTTTTTCTAAAATCCATCAGATCTGTCAGTAGACAGGAGTGCATGAGCTCGGGATCAGTGTTGTAGTTCAGCAGCTGCTG